AGCATGTTTCGGCGATAATTTGTCTTACTTTCAAGCTCAGCAGAAGTTGGTCGTCAGTCAGTCCACTCGTCTGCCGGTTGTTTCTGTTTATGTATTATTCTCGTCTTTTACTTACACTTTGCGAAAGCGAATGGTGTTTTGATGGCGAAGCGATGTTGCTGATGACGAAGACGACAACAACGATGTGAACTGTTGATTGTTTTGGTTTGATTTAGGCTGCTTCGTTTCGTAAATTTGTATGACTGGCATCATCATCATCAACATGGATGGTGGTGGTGCTGGCTGGTGTGGTGTTGTGGTCTGTGGTATGTTTGAATACGGCATTTTTTTCTTATTTTTTTTTACACAAATCAATTGAGAATACTGGGTCAATGTCCCAAACTGATAACAAAACAAGAAAAAGTAAAAGACGAAAATGAAAAAATTTACAAAAACGATTGTATGTCTGAAAGAAATATTTTTATTAGTTTTCCAAAAAAAAAAAAAATTAATTCTATACGTAATTTTCTGTATCTGTAAAATCTTTTTTTTACACGAAAAAAGATAATTGTTTCTTTATTTTCAAGTCCTTTATTGTTTTTCAAAAATCTTAATTATTGGTCATTGCACTTTTCATTTCAGTTTTATATTTTAGGGGGGAAATTGAGTTAAATGAAAATTAATTTCTTAAGCTATTAATACTCGAACTCATCATACATATTTATTTATGTAGAAGAATAATCATTTTTGTTGGACGTACGCAAAAATATGTAGAGAAATATTTTGCCTTTGTTTTAAGTGAATCGGAAAATGAATTTTTTTGTGAAAAAAATATCATTAAAATTCTATTGTTTATAAATAGTATGAAATACGTTTGATATATTTTTTAACGGATTTTTCTTGTTGAACGTTGATGCATTTCTTTGCACCCTACACCATAGGCGGACAGATTTTAGACTAGTTTATAGACTAAACTATATACGACTTGACTATAAACTAAACTATAGGCTATACTATAGACTTGACTATACTAGACAAGACTATAGACTATACTATAGACTAAACTATGGACTAGACTAAATACTCGACTAAATACTAGACTATAGACTAGACTATAGACTAGACTATAGACTCGACTATAGACTAGACTATAGACTAGACTATAGACTAGACTATAGACTAGACTATAGACTAGACCATAGACTAGACTGTAGACTAGACTATAGACTAGACTATAGACTATAGACTAGACTATAGACTAGACTATAGACTAGACTATAGACTAGACTATAGACTAGACTATAGACTAGACTATAGACTAGACTATAGACTAGACTAGACTAGACTATAGACTAGACTATAGACATAGACTAGACGATAGACTAGACTATAGACTAGACTATAGACTAGACTATAGACTAGACTATAGACTAGACTATAGACTAGACTATAGACTAGACTATAGAATAGACTATAGACTAGACTATAGACTAGACTATAGAACTAGACTATAGACTAGACTATAGACTAGACTATAGACTAGACTATAGACTAGACTATAGACTAGACTATAGACTAGACTATAGACTAGACTATAGACTAGACTATAGACTAGGACGTATAGACTAACTATAGACTAGACTATAGACTAGACGATAGACTACTATGACTAGACTATAGACTAGACTATAGACTAGACTATAGACTAGACTATAGACTAGACTATAGACTAGACTATAGACTAGACTATAGACTAGACTATAGACTTGACTATAGACTAGACTATAGACTAGACTATAGACTAGACTATAGACTAGACTATAGACTACCTATAGACTAGACTATAGACTATAGACTATAGACTTGACTATAGATAGACTATAAGACTAGACTATAGACTAGACTATAGACTAGACTATAGACTAGACTATAGACTAGACTATAGACTAGACTATAGACTAGACTATAGACTAGACTATAGACTAGACTATAGACTAGACTATAGACTAGACTATAGACTAGACTATAGACTAGACTATAGACTAGACTATAGACTAGACTATAGACTAGACTATAGACTACTAGACTAGACTATAGACTAGACTATAGACTAGACTATAGACTAGACTATAGACTAGACTATAGACTAGACTATAGACTAGACTATAGACTAGACTATAGACTAGACTATAGACTAGACTATAGACTAGACTATAGACTAGACTATAGACTAGACTATAGACTAGACTATAGACTAGACTATAGACTAGACTATAGACTAGACTATAGACTAGACTATAGACTAGACTATAGACTAGACTATAGACTAGACTATAGACTAGACTATAGACTAGACTATAGACTAGACTATAGACTAGACTATAGACTAGACTATAGACTAGACTATAGACTAGACTATAGACTAGACTATAGACTAGACTATAGACTAGACTATAGACTAGACTATAGACTAGACTATAGACTAGACTATAGACTAGACTATAGACTAGACTATAGACTAGACTATAGACTGACTATAGACTAGACTATAGACTAGACTGTAGACTAGACTATAGACTAGACTATAGACTAGACTATAGACTAGACTATAGACTAGACTATAGACTAGACTATAGACTAGACTATAGACTAGACTATAGACTAGACCATAGACTAGACTATAGACTAGACTATAGACTAGACTATAGACTAGACTATAGACTAGACTATAGACTAGACTATAGACAAGACTATAGACGAGACTATAGACTAGACACTAGACTAGACTATAGACTAGACTATAGACTAGACTATAGACTAGACTATAGACTAGACTATAGACTAGACTATAGACTTGACTATAGACTAGACTATAGACTAGACTATAGACTAGACTATAGACTAGACTATAGACTAGACTATAGACTAGACTAAAGACTAGACTATAGACTAGACTATAGACTAGACTATAGACTAGACTATAGACTAGACTATAGACTAGCCTATAGACTAGACTATAGACTAGACTATAGACTAGACTATAGACGAGACTATAGACGAGACTATAGACTAGTCACTAGACTAGACTATAGACTAGACTATAGACTAGACTATAGACTAGACTATAGACTAGACTATAGACTAGACTATAGACTAGACTATAGACTAGACTATACACTAGACTATAGACTAGACTATAGACTAGACTATAGACGAGACTATAGACGAGACTATAGACTAGACTATAGACGAGACTATAGACGAGACTAATAAACTAGACACTAGACTAGACTATAGACTAGACTATAGACTAGACTATAGACTAGACTATAGACTAGACTATAGACTAGACTATAGACTAGACTATAGACTAGACTATAGACTAGACTATAGACTAGACTATAGACTAGACTAGACTATAGACTAGACTAGACTAGACTATAGACTAGACTATAGACTAGACTATAGACTAGACTATAGACTATAGACTATAGACTAGACTATAGACTAGACTATAGACTAGACTATAGACTAGACTATAGACTAGACTATAGACTAGACTATAGACTAGACTATAGACTAGACTATAGACTAGACTAGACTATAGACTAGACTAGACTATAGACTAGACTAGACTAGACTATAGACTAGACTAGACTAGACTAGACTAGACTATAGACTAGACTAGACTATAGACTAGACTATAGACTAGACTATAGACTAGACTAGACTAGACTATAGACTAGACTATATAGACTTGACTATAGACTAGATTTGACTACAGACTAGACCAAATAATACAATATGGACAAGACTATAGACTGCACTAAGTATATACCAGACTATAGATTAGACTATTGTCTAAGACTATAGAGTAGACTATAGACTATACTATAGACTTGACTATGGACTCGACTATAAACTAGACTTGACCATAAAATAGACTATTGAGTAGATTACAGACAAGGCTATACCATAGACTATTGACAAGGCTTGACTATTTCTATAATATGCCAAAGACTAGACTATAGACTTGACTATACACTGGACCTAGACTAGACTATAGATTAGGGTATAGAATAGACTATAAACTAGACTGAAATTTATACTATAAACTAGACTGTAAGCTAGACATGGATCACATACCAAAATCATATAGGGCTTCCAATCGGACGGTTATGACCGACTACAATGTATTAGTTATCGTTTCATTGCATTCTGTTTGGGTTTTTCCTTACCTTAACCACCCTCCCTCATTCTTCCTTGATCGCGCAATGTCTGTCTATATATTATACACCTAGACAGTTGAATTTTTTGGCAAATGACAGGCGGACAAGTGGATGTATTGACGACAGACAGCTCGATGTTTAAGTTGTACGTTCTTATAGAATAAAACGTCTCATTTTCAGCTAAATTGGCTCGTCGAGCATGAAGATTTCACTTTTTTTGTAAAAAAAAAAAACTGTCAACGTTTGAAATTTTTAACACAAATTTTTATTTATTTATTGTGGTTTTTTCGTATTTATTTGTCTTGTCTATATAGAAATAATAAAAAAAAATACAACAAAATTGCAAAAATGTCGCATCTTTTGTGTGTGGGAATTTGTTAAAAAATTTTTGTTTAATGCATTTTAATATTTTTTTTTTTTGTAAATTTTGTTTTATATTGTAATTGCAATTTTAAATTTTATTAAAATTGAAAGCATTATATTGTTGTTGAAATTATAATTTATGTAGAATTTGTCAGTAGAATGATTTTGTAACAAATTGAAAATTTTACCCAAAATGAAGGATTAAGTACTAGCAATTGTCTAGGGGATTTTGAATTGATATATGGGATTTTTTTTGAAGAAATTTTTTAATTTTTTAAAGAAAATTTCATAAAAAATTGAAATCAATCGAAACTGTGTAAATAAATTGTATTAAAAAAATCTTGAAAGAGGTCCCTAGAGCCTTAAGATTCCGATTTTTTTCAAATGTCTAATCCTCTCTTTCTTTCCCTCTCTGTCTCTCTTTCGCAGCTGTGCGTTATGGTCGCGTACCAAAACGTTCACGTGAGCTGAATGGCGGCACGCCATCATCCACAGAGGATCCAAACGCTGTTGTTGTTGTAAATTCGTGTGATTTACGGCGTGTCAGCACACCGGGAACACCGAACACACCACAAACTCCACAAATGTGTTCCATAGCATCATCACCATCCGAATTGAGCGGCTGTAATGCCACCACCAACAATAACAACTCAAACAGTTCGGGTCTCGTCGTCGGGCCCAGCAATGGTGGCGGCGTTGGTGTCGGCGTCAGTGTTGGCATGGGTGTCGGTGTTGGTGTCGGCAATCTAAATGCCCAACAATTACAGACGGCCCACCATGAGGGTCATCATTTGAATGACGCAATGATGGCCGGTACGGGTACAGAACTATCAGTTTACGATGTGATTATGTGCGTTTCCCAGGCTCATCGCATGAATTGCGCATACACAGAAGAACAGACCAGAGATTTAATGCGTCGTCCCTTAAATGTACCGCCCAATGGTGTAAGTAGTTATGTATGTATGTCTGTTGCTTAGGCGGGTCATTGTTCTTTAAAGTAATTAATCATTTTCTTGTTTTTACTTTGAAATTCAGCGTAATGAGCTGATTTTATAATATTTTTTGTATTCTTTTTTATTATATTTTAATTCTATTCTTTCTTTTGCCCTTAACTCTTTTTTTGGGTTTTGATTTGTTTTGCAGTTAATTTCATCGGTGGCGGAGAGTATGGAATTTCAAAAAATTTGGCTTTGGCAACAGTATGCTGCACGTGTGACACCCAATGTTCAACGTATTGTAGAGTTTGCTAAACGTTTACCTGGCTTCTGTGATTTTACCCAAGATGATCAACTGATACTCATTAAAATGGGCTTTTTCGAGACATGGCTTACCCATGTGGCCCGCATGATAACCGATTCAACATTAACCTTTGATGATGGTACATATTTGACTAGACAACATTTAGAGATCATATATGATGTAAGTTAATCTTAACAAGAGTGAAATTTTAACCAAAAAGCTTTCTTAGGAAACAGTTTTTTATATAAAAAACTGTTAAAAAAAAACAGCTTTCTTTCGCCATAAATTGTTTTCACTCAAAAGTTTTGTTAAAGACAATGTTTTTTACCAACAAAAACCTTTTCGTATAGAAAGAAAAAGCTCCTTTCACTTAATATTCACAACAAATACGTTATTTCTTTTAAGATTAAAAAAAGCTTTTGTTAACAAAGATATTAAAAAAAGCTTTTTAATGTAAAAATAGATATTTCCATTTAAAAATACCTTTTTCACCTAAAAAAGTTTTTTCACAGAAAAAAACTTTTTCATTAAAATAATTTTTCATAAAATAATCAAATAGCTCTGTTACTAAATATAAGCTTTTTATAAAAACAAGATTTTTGTAAATAAGAGTTTCTTAACAGGAAGTACATATTTTTGTAACATAACGAGCTCCTCACAATAAAAAGCTTTTTTCTAGAATTTTTTTTTTTCACAAGAAAAACTCTCGCACGAGTATGTATTTTCAATAAAAAAGAGATTTAAAAAAGGCTTTTTTTCACATACATAGCTTTTTCTTAAAAAAACAGAAAGTTTTTTTAGCCTAAAAAGCTTTCTAATTAAAAAAATTAAATATCACGAAGTTTTTTAAATGAGAGTTTTTACAACAAAAGGATTTAAAAAAAAAAAATCCAAATAAGAGCTTTTTTAGACTAAAAAGCTTTTTCGTTAAATTTTTTACTAGAAAACCTTTTCACCAAAAAGAGTTTTTTCAATAAAGAACTTTTTACAAAAAAAGGGCATTTTCACCTAAAAAAAAGCTTTTTTCATAAAAAGAGCTTTTTCACCTAAAACAGCTTTCTCATAAAAAAGAGCTTTTTCACCTAAAAAAGCTTTTTCATAGAAAAGAGTTTATCACTTAAAAAAGCTTTTTCATAAAAAATAGTTTATTACCGAAAAAAGCTTTTTCATAAAAAAGAGCTTTTTTTAAAAACTACTTTTTTCACAAAAGGGCTGTTTCTTAAAAAAATAAAGAGCTTTTAACCAAAAAATAAGCTTTTTGTTAACAAACACGTTTTTTTTAAGTAATTACAAAAAAAAATTTCACAAAAAAAGAGCTTTTTCACACTACAAAAGGTTTTTCGTTTAACCTTTTTACTAGAAAAACTTTTTCACAAAAAATTAGCTTTATCACTAAGATTTCTTTTCAATAAACAAGAACTTTATCATCAGAACTTTTTTACTAAATAAAGAGCTTTTTCGCTTAAAAAGCATTTTACTAAAAAAAGAGCTTTTTTTAAAAAAATACTTTTTTCATAGAAGGAGCTTTTTCTTAAAAAAATAAAGAGTATTTTAACCTAAAAAGCTTTTTCATTAAAAAAATTAAATGCTAAAAAAAAGCTTCTTCACATTAAAAAGCATTTTACTAAAAAAAGAGCTATTTCACCTAATAAAGCTTTTTCATAAAAAGAGCTTTTTTAAAAACTATTTTTTTCCACAGAAGGAGCTTTTCCTTAAAAAAATAAAGAGCTTTTTAACCTAAAAAGCGTTTTCATTAAATTAATTTTTAAATTAAATAGCTTGTACTAAAAATAAGCCCTTTGTAAACAAACACGTTTTTTCAATAAAAGTTTTTTTACAAAAAGAAGGATTTTCACAAAATATCCAAAAAAGAACTTTTTCCCAAAAATGAGCTTTATTACTAAGAGTTTTTTTTTTTTTTTAATAAAAAACTTTATCATTAGAAAATTTTTTACTAATAAAAAGACTTTTCACCTAAAAAAGCTTTTTCACAAAAAATAATTTTCTATTGAAAAATTAAAACAGCTTTTTAAAAAGCCTTTTGTGAAAAAGATTTGAAAAACAGTGCTTTTACTATAAAAAGCTCTTTTACTAAAATATTTTTACTAGAAAAGCTTTTACTCTAAAAAAATAACTTTATCACTAAGAGCATTTTTAATAAAAAAATGAGCTTTTTTAACAGAACGACCTTATTTGCTTAAAAAAAAACTTTTTAAAAAACTAAACCCAGACTTTTCTAGTAAAAAGCTTTAACAAAAAGCTACTTAAAAATCCCTTTTTTTGAAAATGCTTTTTACTAAAATCAGTTTTTTATTGAAAAAGCTTTTATATTATAAACAACTTTTTACTAAAAAGAGCTTTTAAACTTAAAATTTTGTACGTCACAAAAAACGCTTTTTCACTAAAACCACTTTTTCTCTTTTCCCTTTTGCAGACCGACTTTGTGGTTTCATTATTTAATTTTGCAAATACTATCAACGTTTATGGTCTCAGCGATACAGAGATTGGTCTCTTCTCCGCCATGGTACTGCTGGCGTCCGATAGGCCCGGCATTTCCGAAGCCAAAATGATTGCACGAACAAGAGAACGCATCACGGAAGCCTTAAGAGTACAAATCGTACGTTCGCGCAATGGCACCACACAAGCCCTACAACTAATGCCAGCTCTGGAAGCTAAAATACCAGAATTAAGATCGTTGGGTCTCAAACACAGTGCCCACTGTAATTGGTTGCGTTTAACGAAACCAAGATTGCCACCATTATTTGCCGAACTCTTCGACATTCCCATGGATGATGAAGCGTAAATTTGTTTGGACTAGAAATTAAGAAACAACAAAAATGGCGGCTTGTTTTTTACCGTTAGAAGAAACAAAAAACAAAACAAAAAAGATAAGACTACTAAAGCAAATATGCAAAAAAACAAAACAAACACATAAAATTAAATACAAAATAATTATAATTAATGAAAAAAGAAATTAGAAGCAAAATATAGTAGAATACAAGAACAGAAATGAAAATAAAACGAAAAGAAAAAGGAAGTAAGAAGTTTATATTTACACTTCTAAAGGCAATTTAAGAGATTTTTCCCTTTTTTCTAATTAATAATTAATTTTAAACAAATATGAGTTTTAAATAAATTTGAGAATTAAACAGAAACACATACATAGAAAGGGAACACATTAATTTAAACCAGAACAAAAGTAATTTACATCACATTTTTTATTTTATTTAAAATTAATAATTAATTTTTTGTTTTAAACATAAAATTACAAAAAGGCAAAACACAACAACAGCAACAACAAAATATATTAACATCATTGTATAATTTTAAATAAACTTTAACAAAACAAACAAATCATTAAAAATAAATTTAAAAAAAAATATATAAAGTATTTTAGCTTAAATATTAAAAATAATTAAATAAAACATACAAACAACAACAACAAAATGCAAAATGGCATTATAAAAAAAACCATACACACACACTATAAGAAAAATTTACAACAAAAAAAAAAGAATTATAAAAATTTATTAAATAAATCAACAAAGTTCTTTAAACATTTCTAAAATGTTATAAAAATAAATAAAATAATTTAAATAAAAAAATATAAAAAAAAACCGCAACAACAACAAAACAAACTATCATTTAAAAACATTACAAACAAAACGAAAGATTTTTTGAAATTTTAACAAAAACTAAATTCAATTCATCACATTTTTTTTTAATAATTTTTAATTTAAATTGTATTTTTTTTTTTCTTTTTTTAATTATTTTAATATTAAATATTTTTTTTTATATTAATAATGTTATTGCAATATATTTTACTTATTTAAAAAAACACACCCTACAATAAAACATTAAATTACATGTTTTTTATTATTAATTTTAAAAACTATTATTAAATATTTGTATGTTTTTTTATATAAAATAATTATTTTATTTTAAAAACATTAGTTTCTTTTTCTTTCTCTCTCTCTCTGCAATTATTATGTTAATTTGAAATTATTATTATTTTTTAAAAATTATTTTGTTTTCATTTTGCAAAATTAGAGAAAAGTTTCATTATTCTTTTTAACATAATTTTTGTTTGGAAAAAATTTTGCAAATTTTAGAAAAAGATTTTTTTTTTAAAATATATAAAACATATACACCTTGTAATTTGTAAATAAAATTTTTAATGTTTAATTTTTTTGAAGAAAATATAAAAAAATCTATATGTGCTTTTTATTTTGTGTTAGTTTTTTTCTTTATTTTTTTTGGAACAGGTCTTCAATTTAAGAAAACAACTTGCCTTAAAGAATAAACAATGATCCTCACTAGACGATCTTAATCCAGATTAAGAATTATACTAAATTCTTCTGTTTTCTAAATCATAGAGAAACTTTCTACAGAAGTCTTCTATTGATCAAATATTAAATGTCCATAGAAATCTTCTCTTGATCATATAGAATTTGTTTCTTAAAACTTCACTTGATCATTGAGAAAATTTCTATAGCAAAACTTCACTTGATCCTCAAGATATTTCTATTTAAATTATTAAAATTACTATAGTAATATTTTCCTGATTATAGAGAAAATGTTTGCAGAAATTTTCTCTTGATCATCGAGAATATATTCGTAGAAATCTTGCCATGCAATTTTCACTTGATCATAGAAAATTTCCCTTAATCATAGAGCAAATTTTAACAGAATTTTTTTTTATTAATCTGAGAGCAAATATCTGTTGAAAACTTATTCAAAATCATCGAGAAAATTTTTGCAAGAATCTTCTTTTCTTATATAGAAATCTTTTCTTGATAAACGAGGAAATTTCTATAGAAATTTTTTTCAGGATCATAGAGCAAATATATCTTGATCAACGAGAAATTGTCTATTGATCATCTCATGATTAGTGATAGAGCAAATTTTAATAGAAATCTCATGATCATCGACAAACATTTCTATAGAAATCTTCTCACGATCATCGTGAACATTTCTACAGAAATCTTTTACTGATCATAAATAATATTTCTATATAAAACTTCACTTGATCAAAAAGTAAATTTTTACAGAAATTTATTCTTGATCTAACATAAAATTTCAATTAAAATCTTCGATGATCATGAACATCGAAAAAATTTCTATAGGATTTTTTTGTCTAAATCATAGAGCCAATATCTATAAAAATCTCATCTAGATCAGAGAGAATAACTTTACATGATATTTTAGATAATTTTTACAGAAATCTTATCTTTATCACAGAGAAAATTTCTATAGAAATCTTCTCATGAAGATTTCTCGATCAATGAAACAATTTCTATAGAAATCTTTTCTTGATCATCGAGAATTTTTCTATAGAAATCGTCTCATGATCATCTTATGATTAATGATAGATAAAAATTCTATACAAATATCCTCTTGATCATCGGAAAAAATTCTATAAAAATCTTGATAATCTAGAAAATTTTAATAGAAATCTCATGATCATTGGAAAATATTCTATAGAATCTACTCACGATCATCGTGAACATTTTTACAAAAATCTTCTACTGATCATAAATAATATTTCTATATAAAACTTTACTTGATCATAGAGCAAATTTTTACCGAAATTTATTCTTGAGCTGAGGGAAAATTTCTATTAAAATCTTATTCATGATCATCAAGAAAATTTCTTGCGAAAATCTTCTCTTGATAGTCGAGAAAATTTCTATAGAAATCATAGAACAAAAAGCGATCATTTTTACAAAAATCTTATTTTGATCAGTGAGAAATTTTCTATAGAAATAATCTCATGAAGATTTCTCGATCATTTGAAAAACTTTCTATAGAAATCTTCTAGTGAAGATTTCACGATCACATGAAAAATTTTTCTATAGAAATCTTCTCATATGTTAAATTTTCGAAATAGTTTTAGAAATAGTTTCTTGATCGTCGAGAAAATTTCTATAGTAATCTTCTCTTGATCATAAAGAAAATTTCTATAGAAAACTTCACTTGATCATAAAGATAATTTTTACCGAAATTTTGTCTTAATCATCAAGAATTTTTCTATAGAAATCTTTGACGATCATATTGAACTTTTCTACAGAAATCTTCCTGGTATGAGAGAAAATTTCTATTGAAATGTTTGCAAAAATTTTCTCTTAATCGTCGAGAAAATTTCTATAGCAATCTCCTCTAGATCATATAGAAAATTTATATAGACATTTTTTCATGATCATCAAGGAAATTTCTATATTTGTTATCTGGATCATAGAGCAAATATCTTTAAAAATCTCTTTTAGATCAGAGAGAAAATTTATATAGAAAACTTCACATGATCATTGAGATAATTTTTACAGAAATCTTATCTTCATCAGCGAGAAATTTTCTACAAAAAATTCTATAGAAATCTTTTCTTGATCATAAAGAAAATATCTATTAAAATCTCTTCTAGATCATAAATCAAATATATATATATATATAGAAAATAGAAATCACTTCTAGATCATAGCGAAATCATTTTTACCGAGATCATCAAGAATATTTCTATAGAAATCTTTGCCTGATCATCTAAAAACTCTTCTCATGATCATCGAGAAATTTGTTTACTAAAATCTTTTTATGGAACTTTCTAGATCACATGTCTAAAAATGTCTATAGAAATATCCTCTTGATCATCGAACAAATTTCTTTAACAATCTTCTTCATGATCACCGAAAAAATTTCTAGAGAATTCGCCTCTGGATGAAAGGGAAGTTTGCTATGCAAATCTTTTCACGATCATCGTTAAAATTTCTATGGAAATCTTCTTGTGATCATAGATAATATTTCTGTAGAAAACATCTTCTGATTATGGAGAAAAATTCTATAAATCATCTATTGTTCATCGAAAAAGGTAAAGAAATCTTCAGCTGACTCAAAAATTTACTAATGAAATCTTCAGCCGACTCAATAATTTTCTTCAGCTGATCGAAAATTATAAGAAGAAATCATCAGCCGACTGATATTTTTATAAAGAAAACTTTAGCAAACCGAAAGTTTTTTAAAAAATCTTCGGCCGACTGAAAATTTTCTAAAGAAATCTTCAAACGACTTATAGTCTTTTAAAGAAATCTTCAGTTGATTGAAAATGTTCTAAAGAAATCTTCCGCCGACTGATAGTTTTCTAAAGAATTTATCACCCGATTGATAGTTTTCTACAGAAATCTTGTACCGACTAAAATTGTTCTAAAGAAGTTTTCTAAAGAAATCTTTAGGCGGATGGTATATACATATTCTAAAGAGTCATAGTTTTCTAAAAAGATATTTAGTCAGCCGACAGTTTACTAAAAAAAAATTAGAAATTTTCAGCCGACTAAAAACCTTCTAAAGTAATCTGAAAGTTTTCTAAAGAAATCATCAGTCGACTGTAAGTTTTCTAAAGAAATCTTTAGCCGGTTAAAAGTTTACTATAGAGATCTTCAGTAGGTTCAAAATATCCTTAATAAATCTTAAGCATAATCAAAATTCCGTAAATAAATCATTAGTCAAATCGAAATTTAAATTTTAGAAGATTTTGATGGTCAAATTTCTTAAAAGCAGCTTTAGTCGGTTTTTAAAGAAGTCACATTTTCGTTATAATTCAACCGATTCTACTGCTGGTTTAAATTTTAACCGCATGCCTTCAATAATTTGATCTGAGTCGTTTTATACTAGATCGCTTTGCCAGGACCTTTGGTAGTTGTTGCAGATTTCCGACTTGACTCTTTTGGTAAATTTTTGACTGATCATCACTCGTTATTGGAGAATCTTCATCTATCATATGGTGTTCTCCTGCTAGCTATGGTTCTTTTTAGTCACTATCTGGACTGATCTTTCGTTTACCTTAAAACACAAGGTATATTTTATTATTTTTATTTTAAATTTAAATATTAGACCTGTTATTTATTTAAAATTAGTATTTTAAAAAACTTTACTTTACATACATATACACAAAATTCAGCTTCCATCCATTAAAAAG